AAAACAATAAGATAAGAACACTTAGAACAATTGTGAAAGATATTTAAATGTTAAAATTAATCTTAAAATCTCTGCAAAAGGCACTTTTTTCAACATATAATAATCTAATCACTTCTTTTTCAAAGGAACTAACATAGTGATGAAATGTAAATAGGAAAAAGATTTCAAAAATGCTCACCTAATACTTCAAATAAAACCTAAATCTAATATGTTTGATATGCATTTCATTTATGAGAAACACACATAGATTAACAATAACATATCAATAGCCATTTAAAAGGACAAATTTAACATTAAACATTTAAATTTGGTTTCATTTTCCTTTATTATTGACTTAAATTCATTAATGATGGTATACAAAAAAAATGACAGGAAAGAATTCAGAGCAACCAACTCATTAAATAGAATGTCAGGTATAATATAGACTCCGAACATAATTCATGAATGATAATTTGGTTTAAATTTCCAAAGCATTAACATTACAATGATCTTGCCTTTTATAAAATTCATCGTAAGTAAAAGATATGAGCAATAATCCTTCAAATTTATGTAAATAATAAATATTGATTGATTAGATATAATGAAGTTGGGAATGAAATTCATCAAACAAAAGGTAAGTTTATTATGGGCATACAAAGAAAGATCCTTTATAGTTCTTGAATGATCAATTGGTAATTCAAGCTTTTAGTTCTAAGAGAAATGCACTCTTATTATAATTAAAATAAAAAAGACCTAGAGTCTGCTAATAAGCTTGGTGGTGGCATTATTGGTGGAGTGGAAAATAGAATGAATGATGGAAGTGAGGGGTTTGAACTTGTAGCGAAAAAGAAGGCAAATCAGGAATTTCATCCAACTTGCACCTAGGGATTTTGCAACACAAACCTTTATCAATCATGAAAAATTAAGGATTCCTAAAATAAATAAACAAAAATGTTGAGAAAGAGCAAATTACTTCCAAAGATGAAGTGAGGGAAGGGATGAGAAAAAATCAAAAAAATTGAAAACCAATTCGAAACTATAGTGTTTGATTTGGTTTGGATTAAGTTCGGATATTAAATGTATATATTGAGTTTGGATTGGGAAGTGAAAAATTGAAGAAACCAAACTGAATTGAAATATATATTTTTATTAGCTTTTATATATTTTTTAATTTTTATAAAATAAAAATAATTATTTTATACATAAATCTATTTAAATATATTAAAAAACATATTAAAATAATATATAAAAAATTAATTTTAAAAAATCAATGAATTGTACTAATAGAAGGTTTAATTCATATCTGATTGGAGCATATGAAAGTTTGGTTTGGATTCGGATCAGATTTTAAAAATTCATAATTTTGTACATTATTAAAAAAATTGAACTAAATCCAATTCGATCTGATCTAAACCATTTTCACCCTTAAGTGAAGGTTGATTTTGACATCGTTAATTAGGCCCTACGCTTTGTAGCGTCGAATTCTAATTGACGCACCACCATTCTCTATTTTCCTTCCCTTTTTATCTCTTTTTCTTCACCATGCCTCTTTTTCCTCCAAGAGACATCAAATTCTCTCCACTTTTTCTATTTTCTTTTTTTTTTCTCTTTCTCTTTCCATTTAGCTTTTTTTCAATCCCCTCTCTAAATAAAACTATTTTTTTTTCATGAAATTCTTGCCACTTATTGGGAAATTCCTATGCTTGAGTATTGCCAACTATTTTCTCCAATTCAATCTTTTATTGACTTTAAGAAAAGAAAAGCCTTCCCTCACTATCACTTTCTCAATCTCTTATGCTATTTTTTTTCTAGTCATTTCCATTATTTTCTTTTGAGCTAAAATATCTTTAACAAATAATAAATTTCTTTTGACTCCTTTTTGAACAAGTGTCATGTATAATGTTGTTAATTTTGTTTCGATATCAATTGTATTGGTCTATATACTTCAGTTATATAAAAAAACACTACATCTAAGAATGGTTTTCTTATCAAATTTAGTAACAGGTAATACTCGTTGTTTTTGTTAGTTTCGGTGAATTTCAATAAATTAGCTTATTTTGGTCGGTACGTGAATGTAAAATATGTTTTATAATTTATATTTTGTCTTTTGTTTTTTTGACTATTTTTAATCTAATAAAAATAAAACTAATTAACAAAATGAACTTTCAAAGTTAGGTTTTTCTATTTTTTACTGAAACTTATTTTTTTATACTTTATTTTTTAAAATCAAAGTTCCTAAATATTTCAATCTCTTTTAAGAAAAAAATTTTGCTCCCTCTCTAAAATTTAACAATCATAAAACCAGAATTAATTTTTTTCATTTTTTTATCTTAATATTTACATGAAAAAATATTTATTTAAATATTATATGATCATATTAAGTATTTAAAACTATCATAATAAATTGATGATATTATTTCTTATACTTTTAAATTTATTTATTTGGTTTTTAAAAATATTACATATTTATTCTGTAGATTATTTGTAGTATTATTATATAAAGTTAATATATATTTATAAATATAATTGTAATAAATCAAAAATTTTGAAATAATATGCCAAAACAACTAGTAACGAATATATAATTTTTTAAAGTAAATCAAAACATAGTCTAATATGATATTAACAACTTTGGTTACGCAGGATTTTGCATGCAAACAAAAATATAAGGACTTAGATTGCTCATTTTTTATTTGTTTGCTTTACTATTTTACTTTGCTTTTCTTAACCAATATTGAAACTGTCAAATTTGGTTAAGTCATTTTCTTTTGAAATGGGAATCACTTTAGCTATTTCAATCCTGGCATGGAAGAATGTGTGGAAATTTTGAACGAAGTTGGCGTTACATTTAGGCTTAGTTTAACATAGTTATTGGAATTAGCTTTTGCATTTAAAAGTTGTTTTTGCTCAACTTCAATGTTAAAAAACAAAAAAATATAGCTTTTGAGTTTAAAATTTTGGTTTGCAAACCCAAACTAAAAAGCTCCTCAATAGGTGTTTTTACGGTGAAAAATACTTTTAGGTTAGAAAATCACTATATATTACCATATTTTCTAATATTTTATTATTTTATGAATATCACAACACATTTTCACAATAATACCAAATACTTAAAATTTTTAACCATATTTTTCTTTCTACATTTTTTTTATAAAGAGGTAAAGCCCTTACAAGGGGGAAGGGGGCGGTTAAAACCATTCTCACATGCCTTCCTCGAATACTACATTTTTAAATGCATTTTTTCTAACCCAAACTTTTTTCAACTATAACACTAACACTAAATTAACCCTTAATGTGTAACCTCTAATGAAGGTAGTGGAGATTGCTGAAAAGGCTGGGGATGCCGTTCTGAGCCCTAAATTTGATCAGATAACTAATGCACATATATATCTAGAATAGGTATTCAGGCTGATTATAAATACTAATTAGTTCTTTTTCATGCTGGTTTAAGTTCGTGTTAACCTACCAAATGGTGACATGGTGGGGCATACTGAAGGTATCCAAGCTATTATTATTGGCTGCAAGGCTGCTGATGAAGCTGTGAAGGTATGATGGCTTTTGTTCCTTTATTCTATTTCAAAATCCTTCGTGTTTTACATGTTTTGATAGACTAATCATAGTTTGCGACTCATCGAATTCCCTAGCAAATCGTAAATTTAAATCTTAAGAGAAAGTTTAACGTTTGAGGAAAAAAATGACGTTGGATTGGTAATTCTTCATTGGATGAGAAGAGTGAATGAAATTTGTATTCAGGATGTTCTATTTTTTTTTTTCAATTATCTAACTCTTATTGTTGAGATCCACACCTAATCTAAGAGATATTGTTCATTTTGACTCGAAAATTTATAATTTTATCTTACAAAAGATACTTCACAAATTTAGATTTAAACCTTTATTTATATATTATAACAGATCCTCAGAACATTCTGATGTAGGATTGAGTTAAGTTTAACACAAAGCACATAACAATATATATAGAACCATATCAACACAACCCAACACAAAACACAAAACCGTACATACAAAATTATGAGCATACCAGACGTTACGATTTTAAAAGTGACTCTTATCATATAGTACTTAGTTCTCATAGGATTCTAGAAGTGGCTCATCTGTTGTAACAGTTAGCTCCCATTCGATTGATAACCGCTCAGATACCATTTATGAAGACCTACACTTAATCTTTGATGTATTGTTTGCTTTGATTCGAATGCTTCATGGTTTTGTCTCAAAAAAAGCACCTCACAAGTTTGGATTTAAATTTTTGCTTATATATCATAACAAATCTTCAAAACATCTCGATATGAGATTGGAGTATCACACTTATTTTTTGGGCTAGATCTGTGAACGTGCTAACGATAAATGTCTACTTCTCGGTATTTTTTAAAAAATTATTCTGGTTTCCAAATTTGGACTGTACCAGGCAGCCTTGCTTTTAGATTGCTTCTACGATAACTTTGTTGGATTGCAGATGATCCTAGATGCCACCGACCAAGTTGGTCCAATATATGTTGTGACTGCCGATTATGGAAATGCTGAGTACACGGTGAAAACGAACACGTCTGGGCGGCCTCTTTTATGACAAGAATGGCAACTTTCAAATACTCACTTTGCACACTTGCCAACCTGTAAGTTTACAGAACACTTCAAGAATAGTAATTTTGTTTCAGTTTAAAACACTGCAAGATGAGCTTCAATGTGCTAGGTGGGTTGTGGCCAATTTACGTTGTATTCATTAGTACTTTCTAGACTTTTTCTGATTCAGTTGAAAAGAATCAAACGCATCAGACTTAGAATCCATCTGATGGAATCACGCGTGCGATCGATAGTTACTCAAAATACGACTTCTTTAGCAAACAATACTACCTTCCTTTGCTACTTAGGTGACCGTTAATGCATATGCATTTAACATATAACTGCTCACAAGGCCTCCTTTATATATATATATATATATAAACAGTTGACTTGAGTATAGGGAGCAATTACATATTTCTATATAATTTAACAACCCAAGCTTAACCTTAAAAATGATACTACCCATTTTAAGAAGGTCAAAGACACAATGTCTAATGTTCAAATTCCTTCACTAGCATTCTCAATTTCTCAAATGTGTATAAAAAAAAATTATTATTGCCTCCATCATCAAAATATTTTCCCATGCATTAAACCCAACAATCCAAAAAGCATCAACAACCTTTAAGTTGAGACAAACAGAACCTTCGGGCATTGGCGGCCATAACATTTCACGGGGTATTTACCTCGCAAATTAGCACAACAAAGCGAACAGCAAAAAATTATAAAAGCACTTTGTTAACAATAACATCCATGACATGATGTGTAAAATCTCTCCAACTATAGGAAGCCCTGCCCCTGCATTCAAGGGTTCAAGACAGTATTGCTTCTTCAGTATCTCCTTGTATCTGTAAAAGCAACCAAAGGAATATTGCATGCACATTTTTTTCAGCTCAACCGTTCAAAGAAAGACTATACCTTAGACGTGCCAAGGGAACATACCCTAGAAGATCATCTGACAAAAGAACCAATTATACAAGACGGTTTAATGATGATTTGCAGAAAAGATGCCACAAAGGCAACATATTGCAAACATTGTCCCTCGTCAAAAAGAATAAATATAGTTTAATTAAGAAATAACTATACAATGTTAGTTCTACTTTGTGAACTCCAGTTAAATAGATATCTCTAAGAGCAAAAGCGACTAGTGGCATGCTGTTAGGGTAGACTAACACTTAGTAAAATATATCCCCTTGCCATCTCATAATGCTGGTGATTATGGTTAGAATTCAAGCTTTCTACATAGTCCCAAATCAATATTCCTTGATCTCCCAGTGGGCTTAATAGGAGCACCGGGGCAAGTTTCAGCAGCCCCATTTAGGCAAGGAGCTGAAGTAGGTGTCTTACAACCATCAGAATCCCATTCTATATCTGGCAATTCGGCAACAAAACCCTCAGCTTGGTTCGAAACAATAACTTCCAGGAGATTTTCATAAAAAGATTCAAACATTTCTTCATCTGAAATAGATTCTGCAGCAGTTGTACGAGTTACAGAATCCAAATTTCTAACAGAGTAATCAAAATTTATGCAGCGTGCAACACTAGCTCTCATTTCATCAATATATTTCCTACAGATGGGAGCAAACACCATGTCTTTTGGGCCAGGAGCAAATGCGTCAAAAATACCATCCTTTGGGGTTTTGAGATTGCTATGGTTGGCAGAAGCCAATGAGTCTTGTTTTATGGTTGCTTGAAGACCAAAATGAGGAATTTTTTGTGGTTTCTTGACTACTTTGGGCGGAGTGTTACAATTATAGGAGAACTCCCCAATTTCTCTGTTGGCACCAAGAGTCATAGGCCCCAGAAAAGCTTCTTTATTACCTTCTCTAGTAGTTGTAGATGGATCAATAACTTCCCCATTAGCTTCCTCTATGCAAACATTATCTGATTTTTTCATTAAGTTGAGAGAAAGGTCTCGGCATTTGCTTGCACAAGTTCCAGTATCCATAGATCCAATAGTAACACAAAGCCAAGGAAGCTGCAAAGAAAGGAAAAAAAAATAGCCCATCGCTAGGTTATATTGGCTAGGCTTTAAAACGGCAGTTAAGAAATTCCAGCCCCAAATACCCAATCGTAACATAGCATTTCAAAAATGAGGTTTTGTGTTCTAAAATTAATCCTTGGAAAGAGGAATCCTGAGATGTAAACAGCATAAATTCAGAAGTAATAGTAGGAGAAAAGGAAATCTAAGGATAAAATATGCAAAAAAAAAAAAAAGAACAGGAAAGAAGAATCCTTCTTCATTCGAAATTACAAACCCCAATAGTAGGAATTTCGACACTATCCGGGAAGCAAAAAAAATCCTAACAACCCTCATGCAATTTGAGAAGGTGTTATTGAAAATCCTAGGAAGATGAACAAAATCCCTAATAAAAGGAAAAAATAAATGTAATAAAATCAACGATGTAAATTTAAAAGAATGAAAAAAAAAAAAGCATAACAGAGGGTTATACCTGGTTACCTGAGGACTGAAAACGAAGCAAGCTCAAATGCGGAAGGCAATGCAGCAGCGGGCTGAGCGCAGCGAGGTGAAGGGAAAGAAAAAGACTAATTACTGAAGTTAAAAGGAGGCAACCGTCGCTAGGGACTATTGCGCTCAATCTCTCTTTGTAAGATTAATATGAACCGTCTAATCATTTTCTTGTATGATTATTGATTTTTTATATTTATTTACTTTTAAATTTGGGGATTAGGTTGGGATTGGTTAAATTATGCTATAAGTCTATGTATTTATCAGAAAATATAAACTTAGTCCATCTATATTAATTTTAATATTGAAATATATAACTTTTTAGGATTTTAAATATTCATCCGATTTAAATATCTTTCGTTAAACATGATAACATGTTCATTGAACGGTTGATGTGTCTTTTAACCAAATAACGTGGCATAATTTTTATTGATTAAATGGCCTATATTTTAGGACTAAAATTAAAAATCCATGTCACAATTGAAAGATAACTTAATATAATTTTTTTCATATTCAAATCAATTAAAAAAAATCAAAATCCTTTTTTTTTATTTACCCAAAACGACCCTCCCCTGTTCCTCTACCACTAAATAACCACCAACATTCCATTTTCACCTCCTTTTAACTTACGCCCTTCTCTTTCTCATCCACCAATAATCTCTTATAAATTCTTTTTTTTTTTTTCGTCTTATATAATTCAAATCAATCATCACATCATTCTTTGATTTCTTGTTTTAGACTTGGGAATTTTAGGGTTTTTAAAAAATAATTTGTTTAGCATAGAAAGTTGAAAGTGATCACTTTTTTTCTTTAAAAGCTTATATCACATTATTAGATTATAAAATTTGGAATTGTGGATGGTGTAGGATTTTGGGTTTTTTTTTTACTATGATAATAATAATAATAATAATAAAATACGAATAAGACAATAAAATTCTTCAACTATATTTTAGCAAACATTTTCAAGCATGACTATTCAACTATGTAAAATAATCATTAAAGATGCAAAATTTCATCTTAAATTGACAATAAATCTCAACAATCCAATTAACAAGCTCTTTTTACCCAAAAGTTTAATGCAACCCACAAATAAAAGCAAGAATTGAAAAGAAGAAAAGAAAAAAATAGCATAAATAGTAAGACAAAAAACCATAAACGCCAAGCAACAAAATCTTGAGGTCTGCTAACACCCATTTTTGTAAAGTGGTAGGCTAAAGATTAGCCTTGAAATTTTATGGTATTTTAGACTACCATTCATGTTAGTACAAAACGCTGAAAATCTAGAATTATTGCTTTTAATAAATTTGAAATTATGAAGAAAAGCTTCAAGGCATGTAACGGTGCCATTTTCTTTAAGGTTTTATTTGCCCTCATCGTATTATTTATTTAGTAAGTGTACAAAAGGGTTGTAAGGAATAAACTTTAAAGATATAATGAAGCTCAGTGATTGATTATATTTTACATTGATGAAATCAGTCCACCAAATATTCATTGACGTATCATAAGATCACCAGACTTTTATAAAGGTTTTCTGCAACAAAATTTTTATAAAAAAAAATTGGAGTATGAAGAAAGAGGGATAGTTCCAAGAATTGTTTCTATATATTTTTCAAAAAACTAGATGAACTTTTTATAAACAAATAAATGTCATTTCTTATAAACATAACTGTCTATTTTGAATAGACAAAAACTATCTATTTTTAAATAGTTAAAATTATTCATTTTAAACAGACTTATTTACCTATTTTGTACTGATTTAACTATTTATTTTTATTTTTTCTATATATTTTGGATGGACTTTAATCAAACATTTATAAGCCTTAAATAAAATAAAAAATATAAACTTTAAATAAAATAACATTTTATTTACTGCATTGTACCAAGTGCCAAGTGCCATTAATTAAATATTAATATATACTAATTATTTAATCAATACAAGACCAACCAAGCTTGAAAAACCAAGCCCATGGTCCAT